CCAGCCCCACGAAACCCTCAGGGCTGTCCCATCAAACTGAGGACAGTTTGTAATTGAGGGGCGAGGTCAGCGTCGCTGCTTCCGTGGGAAGTAACCAGGCTTCCTCCTTACCTTGATGAACTGTCTCTTGCTCTGGGGAAACCGGAGGAGAAAGTGAGAGTCGGGTATGGGGGGAAGAGGAAAGGCCGGGGCGATTCCACTGTCGGCCTCCCGAGTAGCGGGACACCAGCCTCGCTCTACAGTCAGTGGACACTGGGGTGCTGGGAGCCGCGGCCTCGAACCCACGGGCACTGCAGCTCCCGTTCACTTCCAAGCTGGCCATCCACACAAGCAGGGAGTGGGGGGGTAGTTTTTTCCTCCAACTGGCCACTTACGTTAGTCACAAAGAAAAGGCAGTGAGTTCTACTCATGATGGTGCTGGACAGATCTGGGAGCCGGGACTGACCTCACCCGCAGTGGGGGGAGGAGGCCGTAGCAGAGCGTTTGGAAAGGCAGAATTAGGAGCCCATTTGTCCAAGGTGCTGGGTTCCGAGCTATTTATTCTTGGCCAAGCCTTTCCCCGAGAGGGGGATGGGGTGGGGGTGGGAGTGGGGGGGGGCTCTCAATGTGCTCAGAATATCCTGTTGCCTTGGGCAAGTCTGTCTAGCAGAATGATCTGGCAAAGATAAGGAGGACGCAGTGGAACAAACTCAGGTCCCAGACGTCCCAAGGGTGGGCGCTTTTTGGGGCTGAAGCAGGTCTGAGTTGACCCGTCGGTCCTTCTGGGTGGCGTTTGGTCACGGCACCTGTGTGTGGAGAGGAGCCGAGTCAGATCTGCTTCCGGGGTCCCAGGGCCCAGGACACAGGAAACAAATGCTTCAGGAACACCAGCCTTTGGCAGGCCTTTGCTTTAAATGACAATGGCACAATGAGACCCTTCCTCCTTGGAAAGAAGTGTTCTTGGCACACCCACCACAGCCCACGCTGCGTTTCGTGGCTGGCACACACACACGGTGTGATCACCAGCCCTTCCCCAACCCCAGGCCTTGGCCTCTACCCCGGAATAAAGCAAAGCCCACAAGCCATGCGGCTGGCGACCCTGTGAAGCAAACTCCTGTTGTCCCTGACGCATCTCTGTGTCACTTGCTAACTGGAAAGAATGTTCCAGAGGAAAGGAGTTAGAGATGTTCCGTGGGGGAAGACAGTGGGTGGCTTCATTGTGTGGGAGACACTGTTGGGGATTCGGCCGGGCATGAAAAGGGGGGCACCTTTTCACCATCCAAACCACCAAGAGCCCTGGGCTGCGGGTGCCTCTGGCGCGTCCTTCCTATCCGTGCGCTCTGCGACCATCCAGGAGGGGCGCTGCTCAGCTGGACACAAACAGGACAGAGAAGCCAAAGGGACTTAGGAGGCCAAAGCCCCAGAGCTGCAGGGGAAGTGGAGGGGAGGACAGCCCGAAGGGACTCTTGCTGCTCCCTTGAACCAGCATCTGCCTTTCTAACGTCGGCTTGCTTTGATTTTCAGATCCCCTCATTTCTCTGCCACTTCCTTCAGGAAGAACCTGGGCTTGCCAATTCTGTTTCAAGTTCCCAGTGACTTATGGAAGGTACTCATTTTTATTCCTTAATTAAAGCAAAGTGATTGGCTGACCGGGAGCAAGCAGCCTCCTGCCCACCCCCCAGTCACCAGTAGAGACATGGACGCCCCCCCCCCCCCCATTCTCAGGGCTTCACCTGCCAAATGCATAGAACTAGGAACAAAGAAAGAGGGCTGGACACTTCAAAAAGGCACGCTAGAAATGAACATGTTAAAGTCTGCCCAAAGACCAGCCATTGCTTTTCAACTGGCACTAGGTGAGTCTTAGTTTCTAGGGGGTCTCTAACTCCCTTTCCAGCCTTCCTGTCTTCCACAAACAAGTCCCCACACTTGTGCAATTTCACGCTCATTGCGGAAATCACTGATTGGCTGCAGCCTGACCCCAGACCCACACCTGTGTGGCCAAGGCTCCTGTAATTCTTAAAACCGCTTGAGTGGTCAGCACCCCTCCCCCAACCCCTCACCCCCAGGGCAGAGAAAGAACGAACACCTGGCCACAGGCCCAGAAAACATTGCAGGCCCTCCCGGGGCTGCTGGGGCTGGGGCTGGGGCTGGGGCTGGGGCTGGGACCGGGGCTGGGGCTGGGGCCGGGGCTGGGGCTGGGGCCGGGGCCGGGGCTGGGGCTGGGGCCGGGGCTGGGGCTGGGGCTGGGGCCGGGGCTGGGGCCGGGGCTGGGGCCGGGGCTGGGGCTGGGGCTGGGGCTGGGGCTGGGACCGGGACCGGGACCGCGACCTGGGACCGGGCTCTCGGCTCTCCGCTCTCTCAGGGCCTGGCCCAGGCCCTTGTGGGTAGTAAGAGTCCAGCCACTGTGGGCCAGGACTGCAGGAGCCCTGATGCCGGCCTAGGACCGGTGCTGAGCCCTTTTGCTGTGCTCTGACCAGTGCGGGGCTGAGGAAGCCAGCGGGAGCCAGGGCGGCTGGGAGGAGGCTCGGGAGGAAGGTGGAGGCCCCGCACCTCGTCCTTCCCCAGTGCGAGTGGGGGGGGGGGTGGAGAAAGCAAGATGGGCCCTGGGGTCGGGAAGAACCCCAGCACCCAGCCCGGGAGCTGCGGCGCTCAGGGAGCACAGGATGTGCGGAGGCCGGGGCAGCGGGTGCGTGGGCACTGGACCGTCCAGAGAGCAGCAGGGCCTCACTGGGTAGAGTGCCAGGAGTCCACGCTGGTGCCGCTTCTTCAGCCCCACAAAGGCCACGGTGAAACACGCCCGGTGAGAAGCCACACAGCCGCTCAGCCGCCCCCCAGCGCCTGCTCTCCCCGGCCCGCGCCCGCTCTCCCCGGCCCGCGCCTGCTCTCCCCGCCCCCCAGTGCCTGCTCTCCCCGGCCTGCGCCCGCTCTCCCCGGCCCGCGCCCGCTCTCCCCGGCCCGCGCCCGCTCTCCCCGGCCCGCGCCCGCTCTCCCCGCCCCCCAGTGCCCGCTCTCCCCGCCCCCCAGTGCCCGCTCTCCCCGGCCCGCGCCCGCTCTCCCCGGCCCGCGCCCGCTCTCCCCGGCCCACGCCCGCTCTCCCCGGCCCCCAGTGCCCGCTCTCCCCGCCCCCCAGTGCCCGCTCTCCCCGCCCCCCAGTGCCCGCTCTCCCCGCCCCCCAGTGCCCGCTCTCCCCGGCCCGCGCCTGCTCTCCCCGGCCCGCGCCCGCTCTCCCCGGCCCGCGCCCGCTCTCCCCGGCCCGCGCCCGCTCTCCCCGGCCCGCGCCCGCTCTCCCCGGCCCGCGCCCGCTCTCCCCGGCCCGCGCCCGCTCTCCCCGGCCCGCGCCCGCTCTCCCCGGCCCGCGCCCGCTCTCCCCGCCCCCCAGTGCCTGCTCTCCCCGGCCCGCGCCTGCTCTCCCCGGCCCGCGCCCGCTCTCCCCGGCCCGCGCCTGCTCTCCCCGGCCCGCGCCTGCTCTCCCCGGCCCGCGCCTGCTCTCCCCGGCCCGCGCCCGCTCTCCCCGGCCCGCGCCCGATCTCCCCGGCCCGCGCCCGCTCTCCCCGCCCCCCAGTGCCCGCTCTCCCCGGCCCGCGCCTGCTCTCCCCGGCCCGCGCCTGCTCTCCCCGGCCCGCGCCTGCTCTCCCCGGCCCGCGCCCGCTCTCCCCGGCCCGCGCCCGATCTCCCCGGCCCGCGCCCGCTCTCCCCGGCCCGCGCCCGCTCTCCCCGGCCCGCGCCTGCTCTCCCCGGCCCCCAGTGCCCGCTCTCCCCGGCCCGCGCCCGCTCTCCCCGGCCCGCGCCTGCTCTCCCCGGCCCACGCCTGCTCTCCCCGGGCCGGTTGGCCTCTGTGCCCAATGAGGGCGCCGGGCAGCAGCTCAGCTGGGGCCAGGTGAGGGAGGCCTTGGCCTTGCATGGCCGCAGTCCTGGGACGGGCCAGCAGAGGGAGCCAGAGCCAGAGCTCCCAAAGGCCTGGCACCTGGGAGGGCAGAGGCCCCTCGGGCCACCCGGTCCTCCTGCCGCAGGCCTGGCCTCCACCCGTCTGAGCGTGAGCGAGTGCCCACCCCGCCCTGCTCCCTGCACACCAGACACACGGAGAAGGAACCGGGGACTTTGTTCTCAGATCCAGGCATTGCCCAGGGCCTGCTGGGAACACGTGCAAGCCGGGAGGCAAATACGTAAGGGCTCAGCCCGCAGCTGCTGCTTTCCAGAGAAGTGTCAAGCTCTGCCTCTCAGGAGTGGAATGCACGGGGGACTTCCTATCTGTTCCTTTCGCCCCTAAGCAGAGACTTGCCAAGAAGCCACCACCTGTCCACAGGCAGTCAGAGGCCAGGAGCCTGGGCGTGGGTGCAAAGGTCCTGCTGGCTGTCCCCTTCACGGTCACGGGTCAAAGGGCAGCACTGTGAACTCTCACATCACATCCCCAGTGCCCTTCCGCCTCACCCTCTGGATAACAGGTGCACAGGCCCTGGGCACAGCATTTCCTGATAGACAGACAGACGGACAGAGCATGGGCTCAGCGGCATGGCAGGGCGAGGGAGACACGCAGAGGCTGGGTGATGACAGGGAAAGCGAGGAAAGACGACAAAGGAAATGAGGTCTACACATCTCACGGAGGCTGGGCACCAGTGACTCTCACCTGTAATCCCACAAGACTGAGATTTGGGGATTGCAGTTGGAAACCAACGCCGCCAGACACATCCATGAGACTCTTAATGGGTCAGAAGTGGAGGTCTGGCTCAAGGAGAGCGCTGCCCTTGAGCCAAGGGAGAATGAGAGGCCTAGGATTCAAGCCCCAGTACTGGCCAGAAGTGGAGCAGAACCAAAACCAGCCATAAAAAGCATCCCTCACGTGAGCATTTGCCGGCAGAGGCGTTGTCTTCAGGCATTTCCAGGCAGTGAGACTGGAGAGAAGCAAGGAAGAGAGAGAAGGAAATGTCCAGCTGTTGTGGGGTTGCTGTGCCCGGATGTGACGTAGCAGTCCAGGGCCGGGGGGTGGGGGGGGGGGAGGGGGGAGGACCAGAGCAGCGGACCAGCCTCTCCAAAGGCCCCCGGGGCCTCACCCCTTCCAGCCTCTCTGATCTGACTTTATAGCTCTGGTCTCCGGAGTCAGAACAAAGAACATCATTTATTTTGCTTCCAGCAGAGGTATGGCCAAAAAAAAAAAAAAAAAAAAGGCCTTGGCTGCAAAGATCGTGCAGTAGCAGAGTTGAGCTGGGAAAATGTATGGGATGGTGACTCCTCTTTCCCGCCACCAAGAACACGTGGCCTTAATCCTTTCTCAGTCGCTCCATCTTTGTCCTGTGTGTCAGGGGTCTTTAAGTTGCTGCACCAAGCAGTTGGCATCCGACAAAGCAGCGAGTGAACACCGCACCAGGACCGCCCGCCTCCTCGGCATCCCACCCGGCCTCCCACACTTCTTCTCTTCGTTTGTCTACCCCTCCCCTCGACCACACTCCACCCCTCCTGTTCATCTTCTTTACTTTGATTTTGCTATCTACGGAACTTCAGTGGCTGCATCTGAATAAATTTGCACAGCACGCAGTGTGTTCACTTATACGCTCGTAAACTAATTCTAGCCTCTGTAGAAAACACCCCTGGGCCTGACTTTCTTCACGTAAAGTTTCCAAGCCTTTTCATCCCTTTGCCAATGATGCAGTGTCCTTCTTCTTTGTAACACAGGAAAATTCCATAGAGTTTCTATCCCCCGTTTTCCTGAGCCCGCGCTCCATGTGTGTGCTCCGGAGCCCTCTGACCCCTGATCAGAAATAGTTAGAAAGGCGTGTTACAGTGGGAGGGGGGGCGTGTGTGCGCACGTGTGCGCGTGCGTACGTGTGCCAGTACTGGGGCTTGAGCTCAGGGTCTGGGTGCTGTCGGCTTTTTCACCGAAACCTGCTGCTCCTCTACTGTGGAGCCACACCTCCACTTCTGGCTTTTGGCTGGTTAATGGAGATCAAAGTCATGTGGACTTGCTTTGAACCTGGGTCCTCAGCTCTCGGACTTCTGAGAAGCTAGGGTTACAGGCGTGAGCCACGGGCGCCTAGTCTCTGTGTAGCTGGGCCACACTCCCTTCCAGAGAGGGAAGCTCCAGTTCTGCCTGTCGCTCCAGTTCTGCCTCCGGACCAGGCATTTACAACCTGATGCCTAGCCAGAGTTTAAAGCAGGAGAGAGACGTCGCCTTGGGCAGGGTGTGGAAGAGAAGTCTTTGTTCTCCCTGAGGCCATCAGAGGCCTTAGGGGGCCCTTGGGTGGAGCTTTTGTGTCAAATGGGGCAGACGTGGCACCTGCTCCCATAGTCGCGTGGCTGCCAGCCCGGTACCCGGCCGGGAAGCCGGAATACCCACTAGAGTCCGCCCCCAGCTGTTCAAGGCCCGGGACCACCGGTCGGGCCCTCTGAACTCTGCCGCAGCCCTCCAGCCTCGAGATGGCTGGGACGGAGGGCCTAGCCCTTTACTCCGGGAAGGAAACCCGTTACCCTCTCATTGTTACCGTCGCTCCAGGCACCTCCCCCTTTGCTCACCTGCATCTGCTTTTCTTCTCAGGACAAGAACCAGAGCAATGTCATGCTGCTCAGAAGAAAGCCGCTGTGTCCTGCGTGTCAAGAAATAAAAATGGTAGGCAAAGGGGTAACAGAAGTGCGCATGCACACCACAGGGGACAGCCTCCCCGGAGCCCTGGAGAGGCTACAAATGAGGAACCGTTGGCCTCAGCTGACACAAGATAGTAACATTTTCCCGTCTCAGTAAGCCAGAGTGAACCAAGGTAGGCGGGACAGAGGGGAGATGAGCCACTTTGTTTGGGTTCTAAGTAACTCCAACTTTGTGGATGGTGGAGAAGCTCTGCAGCCTCTCCCTTTTTTTGGGGGGGGGTCCGGTCGTGGGGCTTGAACTCTGGGCCTGGGCGCTGTCCCTCAGCTCTTCAGCTCAAGGCTAGCGCTCTACCACTTGAGCCACAGCGCCACTTCCGGCTTTTTTTTCCTGCTTATGTGGTGCTGAGGAATCGAACCCAGGGCCTCAGGCATGCAAGGCAAGTACTCTACCACTGAGCCACCTTCCCAGCCCTCCCCCTTCCTCTTAATTTCTCCCTAACATGTAACAGTACACACACATACTCACACGCCCACCATCAAGAAACAAGAACCTTAGTCTTCAGTTTCATCATGAGTTCAACTAGAAAGAAAAGCTGCAGAAGGATTTCCTGTCATTTGTAGCGCGTGGGATTATCATTGGACGTGGATTACCTGTAATTCGTGGTGGGGAATGGTGGAAGAGCGTTAGAAAAATAAAGCAAGCCAGAGAGTGGAGGAAACAAAGACAGGCCTCTCCCCCCCCCCCCCCCCCAGAGGTGCAGGAGAAAGAGGCCAGGTCCCATGGGAATGGGGGCTGACCTGAGGATCAGGGCTGGCTTAGGGTGGTGTCGGGGTCAGGCAACCATCCAGAGGGGGATTAAGAATAATTTAGTTACCTGGTGAAGTTTGGGGAGGGGTGGAGAGGGGCCTCCTCCTATCTGATACCCTGTGTTCCTCCTTTGGCTGACAGAGTAGAAGCAAAGCAGGAGAGACTCCTCCTCAGAGCTCCTGGCAAAGGCGTTGGGCTACTAGGATAGGGAAGAAGCAGCCATGTTGTGGCATTTTGTTGTTGGAGGGGGACTGGAAATTGAAGGGAGACTCCTTGCAGGGCTGCCCCTGAATGCTTTTACCTGAGCTCACGTCTCCTTGCCAGGACCTCAGTGCTCAGGACCAGCACTGGCTGAAGTGCGGCTCGAACTGGCATCTCCACAGACACAATTCCTGGGCTCATCCTTAGCGTGGGCTGGCCCCAGGGCTGAGCTGGTGCACTAGGGACTTCAGCAGCTCCTGTCTCTGGAGACCTGACTGTCACCTTTGCCCTGGCCCGGGCTGACAGGAGTGGAGCTGTGGCCTGGCCACCGCCACGCGTCTCTCCTGCTGCGGAGCCTAGTGGGAAGGCACAGAGTTCTAGACACACAGCATGGAACGCCCCCAGCGCCTGCCGTCACACTTCGAGAGCCTCCGGCCAGACGCACCATGATGCTCCTTCCTCGCAACGAAGACTGCGGAGGACAGAAACGATTTCTAGACCTAGAAGGAAACTTCCCTAGCCTCTGTGAAAAACACCTGTGCCAACGCGTACCCACTGAACGCGGAGGCGAAGCAACGTCCCTGAAATCAAGACTAAGACGAGGATGCCCGCACCGCCCACTTGCAGTGGGCATTGTGCTGTGAATGCTGGCGGACAGGAGCTCAGGCAAGGAAAACCGCATTTCCGAGAAAGAAAGAGGTAAAACGATACACATCGGCAAGTGACACAATCTCACGTACAGAGACTATCCTGGCTAGAGGCGGAGGGATCAGTATACCAACACCAACGTATTCGTATCTATTCACAATAAACACTTCAAAAGAGAAATTAAGAAGATAGTCCCATTAACAATATCACCAAAAACATATGATTAATAAAGTTCACAAAAGTTCAGGATGTCCATCTAAGAACCACAAAATATTATCGCAAGAAGTTAAAGAAGACCTAAGTGAATGAAGCCCTAAATTGAAACGCTTGATACTGTAGAGGTCCATTGATTATTGATCAGTTGCGCATCAGACGCATGAAAGATTCGACACAGTCTCTCTCAGGTGTCAGTGTGTCGCGTGCTCACGTGTGTCATCCTAACGATTCGGGAGGCTGAGATCAGGGAGTTCGAGTTTAAAATCCAGCCAGGGCATATACACAAGAGCCCCACTCAATCAATACCTGGGCTCGGGAAGGCTGGCACTCTACCATGCAGGAAGCCGTGGGTTCAATTCCTCAGTGCACATACACAGAAAAAGCCAGAAGTGGCGCTGTGGCTCAAGTGGTAGAGCGCTAGCCTTGGGCAAAAGAAGCTCGGGGCAGCGCGCAGGCCCTGGGTTCAAGCCCCAGGGGCAGCGCCCAGGCCCTGGGTTCAAGCCTCAGGGGCAGCGCCCAGGCCCTGGGTTCAAGCCTCAGGGGCAGCGCCCAGGCCCTGGGTTCAAGCCTCAGGGGCAGCGCCCAGGCCCTGGGTTCAAGCCTCAGGGGCAGCGCCCAGGCCCTGGGTTCAAGCCCCAGCACTGGCCAAAAAAAAAAAAAAAAAGAATACCCGTGTGCAGTGCATATGTCTGCCGTCCCAGCTACAACAGGAAGCGCGAACCAAGTGGGCACAGTCCAGTCAAGAGCCCAGCACCTCCACAAAACACCCAAAACCGTCTCAAAATAACCATGGAAAATAAGGCTGGAGGCACGGCTTAATGGGAGAGCACCCGCCTAGCACTCACAAAAACTCGAATTCAAACCCCAGTACCAAAATAAGGCATCTTTTGTAGATACTGATGAACAGATTTTAAAACTCATGTGAAAGAGGAGGGGAGGGAGGGAAGGTAGAAAGGGTAGGGGAGGAAGGAAAGAGAAGGAAAGAAGGAAGGAAGGAAGGAGGGAGGGAAGGAAGCAAGGAAGGAAGGAAGGGGAAGGCAGAGAAGGGAGACATAATAATTAACCTATACAGTATGTCAAATGGATCTTGCAGACATTTCTAGAACATTTCATCTAGCAGTTGAAAAATACACATTCTTCTTATCAGCACATTATTTCTACGTTTGTGGATGGAAAGAATTGATACTGTTAAAATGTCCATACTACCCACAATGATCTATGGGTCCAAACCAATCTCTCAATTCTTCACAGAACTAGAGAAAATAATTCTACAATTCATTTGGAATCACAAAAGACCCTGAATGTCTAAAGCAATCTTGAGCAAAAGAATAAAGCTGGAGGTATCACACTGCTTGACTTCAAAACATACTTACAAAGCTACAGTAATCAAAACAGCAAGATACTGGCCTAAGAACAGGCAAACAGACCAATGGCATAGAATGGCGTAAATGCCTCATGGATTTACAATCAGTTGATTTGCAACAAAGGCGCCACAAATACACACTGGAGAAAAGATGCTTCTTCTATAAATAGTCCTGGGAAAACTGTCTACTCTCGGGGACTGAAACTTGACCATCGTCTCTTACCTTATAAAAATGAAAGTCAACATAGATCACAGACCTAAATGTAAGTCATGAAACTACAAGAATACTCAGAACTATTTCAAAGCATCTGTGCAGATAGGGAGTTTTTTAATAAGACCTTCAAAGAAAGCAAACCAAAACCCGAATAGGGGACTGGGGCTGGAGCCCAGGGGGAGAGCACATTTGCTTCGCACCCATGAGGCTCTGGGTTCGATTCCTAGCAACCCCCACCCCACACACATAAACTAATTTGAAAGTGGAGCTGTGGCTCAAGTGGTAGGGCGCACCTTGAGCACAAAGGCTCAGAGAAGGCCTTAGTTCAAGCCCCAGGCCCAGCAGAAAAAAGAAACACACACAGAGAATTGGTAAGTGGGATTATGTCACACTAGAAGTTTCTGCACAACAAACAAAAGAGACAACAAATGGTTTATCTGACAAAGGGTTAGTATCCAGAATAAATAAGGAACATCAAAAAACTTCAATAAAAAGAAATAATCTAGTTTTAAAATAGGA